GATATAGTCTGAAAAGTAAAAGACAACAGACTGAGAACAAAGTGTCTAAATTATAGTCTTAGCACTCTGCCACTAACCAGCTCCGTTACTCAAAACAAGTCACTTAATTCTCAAATATCTCATCTGTAAAATTTATTTTCATTCATTCAACAAGCATTTATTGAAGGCCCACAATGCATGAGATTTTGTGAAAATAACAAAGAGGACAGTTAAGATCTCTGCCTCACTGAAATGATTAAATAAGCAATTATGAAGTAGTCTAGGTGGTACAGTAGGAAAAGTAGGGGACAGTAAGGGTGCACATCTGGTTGTACAAACCTAAGAAGTACCCTGGATGCCTCTCTCCACCCATAAACCAACCTTGTCCATCACCATCACTCTGGCTACCCCTTCAAATGTCTCCACACCTCTGTCCCCTCCCCTACACTATCCCAGCTACCACCCTCTACCCTGGTGCATTGCAATAGCCTCTCCAATTGGGTTAACTCAGTTACTCTGGCCCCTCTCTGCTTGATTCCCACATTACAGCCAAAATAAACTTTTGAAAATGTAAATTTGAACACGTGTGCTAGTCTCCCTCTACCCCCATATCTAATCCTCCAATGACTTCTCATTGTTTTCAGATGGCCTAGTGAGACACAGCATGGTCTAGCCTCCACCTACTTCTGCAGCCTCTCCCATCTCCATGCTCCTTCTCACTCTCTGTGCTGCAACCACACTGTCTTCTCTCAGTCTCTGGGCATGTCAGGTCCTTCTTGCCTTTGCACGTACTCTTCCCCCTGCCTAGAATGCAACCATCTCTCCTTCTCCTTGGCAAAACTCTTATTCACCCTTTTGTACTTAATTCAAAAGTTGCACTGGGCATGGTGACATGCACCTGTAGTCCAAGTTACTTTGAAGACTGAGGTGGGAGGATCTCTTGAGCCCAGGAATTTGAGATCAGCCTGGGCAACATAATGAGATCCAGTCTCAAAACAACAACAGCAAGAAAAGTTACTTCCTTAAGGAAAGTTTCCTTTACTAAATTATATCTTTCTTTAATAAAATGTCATGGTGCTGTGCACCTCTCCAGAGGTACACAGAGGTTAGCATAGGAACCTAGAGTAGCAAACCTATCCTAGCAGAATCTGAGACACCAGAAAAACTGATACGTGAACTGAGTATTGAAGGAGGAATAAAAGCCATGTGGAAAAGAGAAGGGCATCTGTGACGTGAGGTTTGAAAATGAGATAATATTATGTAACAGTAAGAACTCAGAAACTGGCTTCTCCTTTCTCTGTAACCTCAAGGCACTCAATATACTGTGGGGAATATTGCAGTTGCTCATGTACATCTGAACTAAACACTGACTAAATACCAGTATCTAAAACTTAGCTACTGTACAAACTTGAAAAATAGATTAAAAACATGCCCCTTGCAACTAATATTTATGTAACCAAGGAGGATATTTTTTATATATATATATAAATACTATACTGTTTGCTAACACTAGGATTTTAAAGAAATTTTCTTAGATAACATTATTTTTCATTCTTTGCTGCCCCTTCCTTAGTGTTGATAGTGGAGAATAATCATATATAATAACAAATTATCATCAATATTTTAATGTTTGAAGGTCATAAAAATATAACCCAAGAATTATGACAGTTTAAGAGTAGCTTATATTCAAGTCCTCTGCTATACTTTCACCTGCCAAACACACAATAAATGCACTGAAATGTCTAGTTTTTAAATTTTTTAATTAAAAATTTATATTAGGAACTAACCAGCTGAATTCTAGAATTCATCTTAAGAGAGTAACAACATTCTCCAATTTTAAAAGGCTAAAAATATGGCCTTTGGGGCTGACACTCTGATATTGGAGAGAATTGTGAATTCATTTCTCTGCTGCCATGTGGAGTTGTAAGAAATGCTGCCCATATAAAGTAAGTTGCATTAGAAACAATGACACTCTAGCAACAATGAGCACACCTATCACCCAGATACTGGTCTCTAAATACCATTGTACAATAAAATAAACCAGGAGTCCTTGAGAAAATGGTTGATTCCAGGATTGAGGCATGGAAAATATAAGATGAACTTGGAACAATGTATGATTCCAGAAAGAAAGTTAACGCTCAAAAAAAGGATGGGGCTTATCAAAAGAACATAGGCGTCAACCTGAAGGAGCCATAATAGCCAAAGCTAGAATAATTAAAGCAGTAAAATAAATAATACTATTCAATTTAAACTCACACAACAAAATAAATATCCATGAGTCCATTCTGATAGTTTAAAAAGGGGGGAAAAGGGATAGCTCTTCCTTACAATGGAATTTCAATTAGCAAATGTAGAAGAAGAAAGCAGAAAATTCACAATAGGCAAACACTATGGTAATAATCATTGCAGACAAGATGCACCAATGGATGCTAAAATTAGTAGGGATAAATGTGAGGCAAAATAACATTTGCATAGTGTTTTATCTCTTGGAAAATATTTATTAATCACAAAAGGAAATATATGGTAACTTTACAGTGGAAAAAGCCAGCAGACACTACCTTAGCCAACTGATCACCAGTAATAAGAAGTATGATCCCATTGATACGGTGCACTGAGGACACAGGATCATTTCTGTGGTATTCTGCCAAAAATGCATGACCTCATTCCAATCCTGAAAAAACATCAGCCAAACCCAGATTGAGAATATTCTCCAAAATAACCGGAATGAGTACTCTGCAAAACTGTCAAGATCATGAAAGAAGAGAAAAAACAAGGAACATGCTGGAGGAGACAAGGTAATTAAATATAACTGGGATGCTGGGTAGGATCCTGGAACAGAAAAAGTATACTAGAAAAACTGGTAGAATCAGACTCGGTGCAGTGGCTCACACCTGTAATGGGAGCCCGAGGTGGGCGGATCACCAGAGGTCAGGAGTTCAAGACCAGCCTGGCCAACATGGTGAAACCCCATGTCTACTAAAATTACAAAAATTAGCCGGGTATGGTGGCATATTCCTGTAATCCCAGTTACTAGGGAGGCTGAGATGTCAGAGTCGCTTGAACCTGGAAGGCAGTGAGCCGAGATCTCGCCACTGCACTCTAGCCTAGGTGACTGAGCAAGACTCTGTCTCAAAAAAACAAAAAAAGAAAGAAAGAAAGAAAAACTGGTAGAATCAAAATAAGGTTTACAGTCGGCCAGGCATGGTGGCTCATACCTATAACCCAGCACTTTGGGAGGCTGAGGCAGGAGGATTGTTTGACTCCAGTAATTCGAGATCAGCCTGGGCAAAACAGCCAGACTCAATCTCTACAAAAACTTTTTACAAATTAGCTAGGCATGATGCTGCATGTCTGTTGTCCCAGCTATGTGGGAGGCTGAGAAAGACTGCTTAAGCCCAGGACTTCAAGGCTGCAGTAAGCTATGACAGGCCACAGTACTCCAGCCTGGGCAATAGAGTGAGACAATATCTCTAAAAAATTTTCAAAAATAAAATAAGATCTACAGTTAATAATATTAAACCAATGTTAATTTAATTTTACTATGGTTACATAAGATGTTAACACAAGGTGGAGCCAGCTAAGCTTTATACAGGAATCCTTCGTACTATTTGTATAACTTTTCTGCAAGTCTAAAATTAGTTCAAAGTAAAATGTTTTTAAAGAAACTGTATTAAACGGCAAATTAAAATAAGTGGTACACCCAGCAAGGTGGTTCATGTCTGTAATCCCAGTACTTTGGGAGATTGAGGCACCTGGGGTCAGGAGTTTGGGACAAGCCTGGCCAACATGGTAAAACCCCATCTCTACTAAAAACACAAAATTAGCCGGGCGTGGTGGCACACACCTGTAATCCCAGCTACGCGGGAGGCTGAGAAAGGAGAATCGCTTGAATCCGGGAGGTAGAGGTTGCAGTGCCAAGACTGCGCCACTGCACTCCAGCCTGCACGACAGAGCGAGACTCCGTCTTTTTAAAAAAAAAAAAAAAAAAAAAAAAAGTGGTGTTACTGCATCATTCTACTTTGGAGATAAAAGCAGTATGGCAAACAAAAGTGGGTTTTGTTTGTGGGTCCGCTCTATGACTTTATCTCCTACTCTGCACACTGCCCCACCCTCAGAGGCAGGCTCTAGGTGACCAGGGGCAGTGAAGGGCATTACACACAACCTGCTGGGAAAGGGGCACAGATTACAGCAATTTCTCAAGTCTCACACTGAAATCAGGGAAGAAAACTCATATATTCTATTCATGGGTCCCATAAAGATAATTCTCAAGTGAAGAAAGAAACAGAGGCGGGGATATGAGAGCAGTGAGTAGGAAGGAAGAAAAAACACTGATTTGCCAAGAAGATTCTTTACAGTATTTTTGTTTGTGTAGAAGATAGAGAAAGTAGTTACTTGGGAAAATGGCTGGAATCTAAAACTTTATCAATACCTTCACACTGTATTAATTTAGTCAAGTAGTTTGAACATTCTTTTGTTTTTCTTTTTCACACTGATAAATTAATCATGTCTATAAATGGTCAAAATCACCTTTCATTTTTCATCAAAACAACTGCATTTTTTAAGTCTCATAAGACAGCTCATGACTTTATACTCTCATTTCATAAGACTTTTGTAGAAAGGAGGATTTCTCCTCTACCTTTCACAGTATTTCAGCATTAAGGAATATAAGCACAACAAAAGTTCTCATGAATAATCAAACTGAAGAGGCATGTGGAGTCCAGAGAACTGGGGAATCATCTGAGAGGACAGAAAGAACATGGGCCCTGGAGCAAGACAGGCCTGAAACAAAATCTCAGTTCTGTGACTTACTAGCTCCTGGATCCCAATCAAGTTCTTTTAACCTCAATGAACTTTAATCACCTTGCCTGCAAAATGGTGAAAATGTCACTTAAGTACTGTAAAAATTAAATAAGACAACGGCATATAAAATGCTTGGCCTATGGAATTCACTCAAAAAATATTATTAGTTCCTTCCACCTTTGTCTTTTTCATTGTTAAAGAGGTGTTTTCTGAAAACATACCGATTGAAGTTAATGTCTGGGTAACTAGAATACTCCGATTTCATCTTAGCATTTCGTCGTGGAAATGTGCAGAAGAAAGCATTAGCTAAAAGACTGGCAATCTGTTCCTGCGACATTGTGATGGAATGATTCATTTTCTGTTTCAGGAGCGGTATTGGCTGATAAAAGAAAGAAAAAAATACAGACGAGAAGAGCAATAATTAGTTTAGCAATTTCGAAAGCAGAGGCACCAAATTGCATTTGCTAAATTAAGGCAGAAATAATTTCAGGCCATTCTTGAATCCTTAAATCAGCAATATTGTTAAAGTCAAGCGCTGTTTATCAGGGATGATTGAGAAAATGTACTTACTTGACAAACTGCAGATTTCTAATCAATAATAATGATAGTGAAGAAAATATAAAACATTACTTATTAGTGAAAAACAAGATTGTTTCAGCAAGTAAATAAAAACACATTGCCCATTTAATGAAAAATTAAAACAAAAGATGAAACAAAAATATGTAACATTGCTTAAGCTAAATTTTGTTCTTATTTATATTAAAAATTATTGCCCAGGCCAGGCACGGTGGCTCACGCCCGTAATCCCAGCACTTTGGGAGGCCGAGGCGGACAGATCATGAGGTCAGGAGATCGAGACCATCCTGGCTAACACGGTGAAACTCCATCTCTACTAAAAACACAAAAAATTAGCCAGGTGTGGTGGTGGGCGCCTGTAGTCCCAGCTACTCACGAGGTTGAGGTAGGAGAATGGCGTAAACCTGGGAGACGGAGTTTGCAGTGAGCCGAGATTGCGCCACTGCACTCCAGCCTGGGCGACAGAGCGAGACTCTGTCTCAAAAAAAAAAAAAAAAAAATTGGCCAGAATAAACTTTCTTAGTTCTAAATAAAATGATCTAAGATAATTCAACAAAGAAGGCTTTACCCTCTTATTCCAAATTACACTTCATACTGACAATTTCTTTATAAGAATCAAATCTAACTTCATTAAAGTGATTAATAGAACATGTAAAAACCACCATACGAACACGTATAAGTTGTAAAAAGACAGACATTTCTTACATAATCAAACATTCCAAGTCAAAGAAGATGTAAGACACTTTTTCTTCAAATCTTTTATATCTAAAATGTCTTCCAGTTATACCACCAAATTCACTTACCTTTTACTGTCAGTATAATCCACACGACCTGAGTATTGTATTCAGTGGATTTCATTTAGTTCGTAAACCAAAAATAAAATTCCAAGTCCCCCAACCGACTGAATGAACCCCTCCTCTCAACCATGGGGATTCCAAAGTTAATATGAAACACTAGTCCACACCATGATAGGAAGTGTGGGTCCGACATGCCTCATTATATGCTCCTCACTTTAGAATTCGGCACAAGTGACTAGCATTAACATTAAAACAGAGGCCTTAAAACTGATGAAACAGATTTTTTATAGTAATAAGACACAATTCCAGCCTGACTCGAGTATAGCATCACATGACAGTTAGCAGATCTTGAAATAATTGAAGTATTTTACCCCAAAATATATTTCTTTGACATATTTTGAAATAGCCCTGCAAAGCTGTCTGTTGGGAAAATCTACACTTTGTAGAAAATCCCTATTCCTTTCCAGGTGAGAATTAAGAAAGGGTTTGATACCTTTTTAGGTCTGATAAAAGCTCCGAAGCCTACTACCTGGAGGTTTCATCCACATGATGAAATCTTGGTCTCAACAAATCCTTATCTTAAACCAGATATTCCTTTCTATTGATTCCAGGTCTTTAGATAATAACTCTTCTAACCAATGGCAAATTAGAAAATCTTTGAATCCACCTAAGACCTGTAAGCTCCCCTTATATGTATTGATTGATGTCTTATGTCTCCCTAAAATATATAAAGCCAAGCTATAGCCTGACCATCTTGGGCACATGTTCTCAGGATCTCCTGGGGCTGTTACAGGCCACTGGTTACTTATATTTGGCTCAAAATAAATCTCTTCAAATATTTTACAGAGTTTGACTCTTTTTGTCAACATATTTTAAATGTTAAAATGTTTTTAAAGACATGATGATAAAATCAAAGACCAACTCCCAGTTTATCCTTCAGCTGTCAAGTTTCAAAATGCTCCTACAGAATATTTAGAGATGCATTTACCTTCTCCCCTTCAGTAAGACACAGAACTAAGAGTTTCGGGTATCTGCACTCATCTCAAACTGGCATGCCTAGAGCAAACTGTCCCAATCATACCTCAGGAGTCGACACCCAGAATGAACCTGAGGAAAGGGCAGGCAAGACAAACCAAAACTGCAGTGCTGAATAATGAATGCTTTTCTAAGTACAGAAGTACACATCATTGCTAGAGTAAGAGTTTGCCAGAAAAAAGAACAGATTAAACTTGCAATTCAACTATTTCTCTTGGAAAAATTCAAAGGTAAACAAACAAGCAAAAGGTAAAGAATCTATTTTCACTATGTTATACAAAATTCTCTCCCCTTCAGGTCTTAGCAATCACCATTTCTGAGAAAAATAGAGAGCTCATATTGATCTCCATTTTCCATCCTGTGCATTTATTTACAACCAAGCAACGAGTGTAGAAAAGGTGACAGTGCATCAATGGCTTCAAGCAAAGTGTTGCTTGGTTTTAGTAAGAAATGAGTTTTTAACTACCATTTACCAAATTATTCAGAAAAATGATTTTAAAAATTAATGGTAAACATTTCAGGCTTAATGGACTTCAAACACAAACATTTCTTGTCTCCCAGATAAACAAATAGTATAATTTTAAATAGAGTTAATGATTTCTGCTCTCCTGGTGAGGGGAAATGCCTAAAAACTCATTATTTGGAGAAATGAGGAGATGTAAATCTTATTGTCAAGCACTCGGCTCAACAAAATAAAAGGCTGGTTACTGTGAACCAAGATACTTCAAAAAGTTCCTGACCAAATTTGTTTCCTTTAATTTTCTTTTGATAAATCTAAAATTTACCTTTTAGATTTGGCCTAGAGTACTTCAATGTGATAAATTATTAAATATCAACATATACAATTTAACTTGCGACAAGATGTATTTTGATCTCAAATAAAAATCTTAACTTTCACAGCAGAGATTGACTTTTCAATAGAGGGCAAAGCACAGAATTAAGATGCTCTCCCCACTGATATGCTAATGGAGAAGAAAGTCATTGGGAGAAGCCAGGACAAAAAGCTGAGGACCCAGGGGTCTGATTTTGGTTCCAAGGGGCTTGTTATAGCTTACAAAGTTAGATGCTTTTGAATAAAAATTTCTCATTAAATGAAATATGAAAACTCATATGCACGATGGGAAGAGAAGAGGATTAAATGGCCCACTCCCAAAGGCTACCTACTATCTACTATTGATTATGAACTACATATTGAATTCAAAAGGCATATAATTAAGCACCATGCAAACCAGTGACACAAAGAGGATCTCTCTTTAAGGAGACTATAATCCAGTGGTAAGAGATATATAATGACAACAATTATAAAACAATGATTTGAATGCTTCAGGAGGGATGAACCTTGTCTGGGAGTCAGGGAAGGCTTCACAGGGGAAGTAACAGACAGGCATACCTAGGAGGTAGTGAGAGATTTTACTAAGTAAGGAGACAAAGGAAAAAGAACTAACATGGAATATGATCAAGCAAATAACTTCCAACAGAAATAAGCAGAAGATATGTTTTAAAATATATTTCCCCTGCCCAATAGTAAAACTTATTTCAGACACAATGCATCACTGAGGTGAAATTAAAGTTACATAAAATTGAAAACATCACACTGGAAAACATTTCATGGGTCTCAATTGAAGATGGTATAGTCCAAGAAGGCATCGGGACATGTGTGGGTTATTTTCTGGTTGCCCCAATGACCCTATCTGTGGTGTTTAGGGTGTCCTAACGACATACTGCAATGGATGGGACCATGATACACATTCAGAAATTGTTCCACCCAAATGTCCACAGGGCCCCTGTGGAGTAAAATGCTAGCAGAACCCTGGCTAGCAGCCATGCAGCAAGAGGCGTTGGCCCTAGAAATAGAAGACAAAGGCAAATTCAAGCACCATTGTGAGAAACACAGGAATAAAATCATGAAGAACAAAACAAACCCTGTGGAGGTTTGAAAATACATTCACAAATTATTTGATGCTCCTCTCTTTAAGAGATGGAGTCTTGGGCACGGTGGCTCATGCCTGTAATTCCAGCACTATGGGAGGCAGAGGTGGGAGGATCACATGAGGTCAGGAGTTCGAGACCAGCCTGGCCAAAATGGTGAAACTCCGTCTCTGCTAAAAATACAAAAAATTAGCCGAGTGTAGTGGCACACGCCTGTAGTCCCACCTACTCAGGTGACAGGCAGGAAAATCACTTGAACCCAGGAGACAGAGGTTGCAGTGAGCTGAGATCATGCCGCTGCATTCCAGCCTGGGGGACAAGGGTGAAACTTGGTCTCCAAAAAAAAAAAAAAAAAAAAAAAAAAAAAAAAGAGGTGGAGTCTAATACTCCTCCCCTTGGGTATCGGCTAGCTTCTAATGAACACTAAAACAGCAGAAGTGATGCTAGGTGCCTTGAGAAAAATGGGTCACAGAAGACACTGCAGCTTCCTTGCTCTCTCCCTTGGATTGCTTGCTCTGGGGAAGTTAGCCATTACGTCATAGGGACAATCAATCAGCCTATAGAGAGGCCAATAGCAGGGCCTTCTGCCAACAGCTATGTAAGTAAGCCAACTTAGAGGTGTGTCCTTCAGCCCCAGGCAAGCCTTCAGATGACTGAAGCCCTGGCTGACATCCTCACTGCAATTACAAGAGAAACCCTGATCCACAACCACTCAGTCAGCTAATCTGCTCCCAAAGTCAACAGAAGTTGAGAGATAATACATGTTTATTGCTTTAAGCCATTAATTTTGACATAATTTGTTATGTAGCAATATAAAATTAATGTACTCCAAACAAAATAAAATACAGGATTCTTTATTTTTAAAAGTTAAGGCCGGCACAGTGGCTCACACCTGTAATCCCAGCATTTTGGGAGGCCAAGGCAGACGAATCACCTGAGATCAGGAGTTCAACACCAGCCTGGCAAACATGGTGAAACACCGTCTCTACTAAAAATACAAAAAGTAGCCAGGTGTGGCGGCGCACACCTGTAATCCCAGCTACTTGGGAAGCTGAGGCACAAGAATTGTTTGAACCCAGGAGGCAGTGGTTACAGTAACCTGGGATTTGTGCCACTGCACTCCAAAAAAAAGAACCTTAGCCAGGTGTGGTGGCACATGCCTGTAATCCCAGCTACTTGGGTGCCTGAGGCAGGAGAATTGGTTAAATCCGGGAGATGGAGGATGCAGTGAGCCAAGATTTTGTCACTGCACTCCACTCTGGGTGACAGAGCAAGGCTCTGTCTCAAAAAAAAAAAAAGTTAAGAAAGTATCATTAACTCATTTGTTAGAGAATACATTACTTTGGGGGAGGGTGAGGAAGGAGTGGGTAGTATTAAGCCATTTTGAAAATATGCTATTCCAAATCCATTAGTATGTTTTGAAATAATGAGTACTTTTTAAAGTTAGAGGTTATTTGAACAAAGAGAGAAAAAAGTCATAGTAAACAAGCTTCAACAGTGTAAACAGAAGCTGAGGAATGGAATGCTGCATTTTTAATGTCCTTTTGTAGTACTCTCTACCCTCTAATCTTTTCCTTAATACAACAAAATTACCATACTTTTTGGCAAAAACTGTCTCCCTTCTCTTCTCTTCTGTCTCTCTCTCTCTCTCTCTCTCTCTCTCTCTCTCTCTCTCTCTCTCTCTGTGACCTTGGCCATTCGAGTTTAAGGGAAATTCAATTGTCGGTCTCAGGGAAGCTACTGAGGAAGCTACAGCCACTAACCTGGGTGCAAATATTTGGCAGACAGAGTGCAATTTTCACCATATCAGGCAAAATGGACTGATATAAATGTTGAGCTTCTGCTTCTTCAAGTACCTGAAAACCAATAAAATAAGTTATGTGAATAATAATAACCAGTAAATATAATAACCGATGAATATGTTTGTCATGAAATTAAATCACGTATCTGCTTTTCATGGAACCCCATAAAGTGGCACACTTATCAGCATCAGCAAACACATGTAAAAATACATCAACAGGTGTATACAAATACATTTACAAATTTATTTCCAAATGTATATTTGGCATTAAGGCAATTCACCTTAATGCCCTCTGAAAAAACTTTAAGTATCCCAGATATCAAATATCCCTCACATAGCATTCACAATGAAGTAAAAACACTTGCAAATGGAAAACAGTACATTCTGCCCTTGGTTATATCAACTAGAAACTGCTAGACCACCAAGGACTCTCTTAGAAGCCCCCAAGGACCCATCTAGCTTCAACGGTCTATAATTGAAGAAATCTCCATAAAAGCCACATTAATTACTTCAGAGCATCCTCTGTCAAATCTAATCTACTGGGTAACAAACAATGAGGTTTCTGATGGTCTTAGAATTTCTCTTTTCTAGACACCCTCGGAAAGTGAAAACCACCATTCCCATATCATAATTTGAAGCACAACAAAGATGCCATGCATGGTCCATTTTTGTCTTTTATAAAATTTCCCATCACTTTAACACCTTCTAATCTAATTTCTTTCTAAACATCAGGGTATTTCTTTAAAAGTACTGGAAATGACAACATTCTTAATTTAGAGATACTACATATATAGTCTGGACTGAAGTAAATACTTTATCTACTTGAAATCACATTTTAACTAGAAGAGGCCTCAGTTATAATCTAGTCTGATCTTGTCACTACTGGAGAGAAAACTGAGGCCAAGGAGGTTACCTGATCATCCTACATTGAGGTCAATTAAAACAAGAACCTAAGTGTTCTGGTCTTTATGCCACAGCTCTTCCTACTTCCCTATGTGACCAATGTTTGGAATCGATGAAGAAACAGACTTTTGACAAAAATCCGGAACTAAGCAGAAATACAGGTAAAACCATTTGTTTAGCTGCAGCTGGACAGTGTATGTGTATAAACAGAAAAAGTAACAAAGATTATTTGCCCTGATTTTGCCAGAAAATTCTAACACTAAGAATTTTCGTTATACCAAAACTCTAAAACCCAAACTATGTTTACTTCTCTTTTAAAATTAAGATGAGTAAACATATTCAGAATGAACAGAAGGATATTTGTAATTCAGAGAATCTGAAATTCAATTAATCATAAGCATATAGAAAATTAAGTCAACAAAAGACAATTATTAATTCTGGAGAAAACAAAAAGTTTTGCAAGAGAGGAAAAGCAATCACAGCCCATGTATGACTAGTGTTTATACTATCTAACTGAAAAAACAGACTACTGATGTAATTGAAATGAATATGAAAACTATAGTGAGAAAATGGGGAGGCAGAAATGAGGTTTGCATTTATGGAGGTGGAGAAAGTGAGAATAACAGCTAAATCCTAATCTTCTAAAGGGGGACTTGTTTCAAAAAGAGTTTAGAGTAGTCAAATGACTGCCTCTTTATAATCTGCCTCCTTAACTCTGTTAAAAATAAGAAAACTAGCTCTTTCCGTCTCAGGTCGCCGCTGCGAGAGGAGCCGCCGCCATGTCTGCGCATCTGCAATGGATGGTCGTGCGGAACTGCTCCAGTTTCCTGATCAAGAGGAATAAGCAGACCTACAGTACTGAGCCCAGTAACTTGAAGGCCCGCAATTCCTTCCGCTACAACGGGCTGATTCACCACAAGACTGTGGGCGTGGAGCCGGCAGCCGACGGCAAAGGCGTCGTGGTGGTCATTAAGCGGAGATCCGGCCAGCGGAAGCCTGCCACCTCCTACATGCGGACCACCATCAACAAGAATGCTCACGCCACACTCAGCAGCATCAGATACATGATCCGCAAGAACAAGTACCGCACCGACCTGCGCATGGCAGCCATCCGCAGGGCCAGCGCCATCCTGCGCAGCCAGAAGCCTGTGATGAAGAGGAAGCGCACCCGCTCCACCAAGAGCTCCTGAGCCCCCTGCCCCCAAAGCAATAAAGAGTCAGCTGGCTTTCTCAGGAGAAAGAAACAAACAAACAAACAAACAAACAAACAAAAAAAAACCTAAATTAAAAAAAACATACATTCATAGATGACATTCTATTTTAGAGGTACACACTAAAGATACTGGCTTCTCTACACCTGAAAATGTATAAAATACAAATACATTAATGGATTTGTTTAAAATATTCAAACTCTTCCCGTTTATAATTTATCTTTTTTTTTTTTTTTTTTAAATAGAAACAGGGTCTGCCCAGGCTGGAGTGCTGTGGAATGACCATAGCTCACTGTAACCTTGAACTCCTGGACTCAAAAAATCTCTTCCTGCCTCAGCATCCTGAGCAGCTAGGAATACAGGCCTTTTTGCTTTTTAAAACTATTTATTCTGAATTAATTATGGTTTCACAGGATGTTACAAAAATATTACCTCTCACCCAGTTTCTCTCAATGGTTACATTTTACATTACTATAACATACTAAAAACCAGGAATACCAGTACAATGTGTATCATTCTATGCCATTTTATCACACGTACATGTGTGTAATTACCACCAAAACTAAGATGCAGAACCATTTCACTGCAATAAAGATCTCATGCTACCCATTTATAGTCACACTCAGCTTCCTTCCTCTCACTATTCCTAACACCCATTAGTTTGTTTTCCAGCTCAAAAATTTTGCCATGTTACCTAAATGGAAACATACGAGTCCTTTGAAGTTGATTTTTTTTTTTTTTTTTTTTTTTTTTTTGTTGGTGGGTGGGTCTTCTTCCCTTGTGGGGTGTGGCGGGGGCGGGTCCGGCTGCCAGCCCTTCCTTTTTTTTTTTTTTTTTTTGAGGCGGAGTGTAGCTCTGTTGCCCAGGCTGGAGTGCAGTGGCCGGATCTCAGCTCACTGCAAGCTCCGCCTCCCGGGTTCACGCCATTCTCCGGCCTCAGCCTCCCGAGTAGCTGGGACTACAGGCGCCCGCCACCTCGCCCGGCTAGTTTTTTGTATTTTTTAGTAGAGACGGGGTTTCACCGTGTTAACCAGGATGGTCTCGATCTCTTGACCTCGTGATCCGCCCGTCTCGGCCTCCCAAAGTGCTGGGATTACAGGCTTGAGCCACCGCGCCCGGCCCTGAAGTTGATTTTTTTTTACACGGCTTAATGCCCTTAAGAGCCATTCAAGTTATTGCAAGTATCAATAGTTCACTCCTCCTCATTATTAAGTAGAATTCCATGGTATGAATATAACAGTTTGTTTAGCAGTTTCATCTACTGAGAGGCACTTTGGTTGTTTTCAGTTTTGTACTATTATAAATAAAGTTACCTTTACTCTCGACCTACCTATACTGTTGTCTGAAATTACTTCCTGTACACAGCACAGTGTGTCATTTTAAAAATTCACTCTGCAAATCTGTCTTTCAACAGATGAATTTAGGTCATTTATGTTTAATGTAGTCTTTGATATGTTGAAACTTAAATCTGTTATTTATTTTATCTGTTTTCTTTTCCCCTGCTCCTTATGGGTTACTTGAACATAGTTTAAAATTCCATTTTTGTTTATCTAAAATGTTTCTGACTGCATCTCTTTGAATAGATGTTTTTCTAAAGTAGCTGCTGAAGAACTGCATTACATACAGCTTATCAACATTTACTGGTGTCAATATTTCACCAGTTCCAGTGAAGTGTAGACTTTACCTTCCTTTACCCTTCTCCATTTATAAAGTAAATATCTTCAATATTTCCTCTACATACATTGATAACTACACTAGACTGTTTTACAATATTTGAAAACAGTGAAAAGTCAAACATAATTTACAACATTCAAAAAAGTTTTTTAAAAGTCTATTATATTTACTATATTTTTACTCTTTGTTGTTCTTTCTTCTTTCCTGATGTTCCATAATTCCTTTCTTGTATAATTTCTTTTCTGTTTCAGGAAATTTCTTTAGACATTATTTCACGGTAGGTCCGCTGATGATAAGTTCTCTTTTCCTTCACCTGAGAGCATCGTGGTTTCCTCTTCCTTTCTGAAGAATATCTTAATTGGATATAGAATTCTGGGATGACAATTATTTCCTTAGTCCTCAAAATTTTGTGCCACTTTTTTCTGGTCTCCATGTTTGCTGATAAGAGATCTACTGTCATTCAAACTGTTTTTCTGTATAGGCATTGTGTCATTTCTCTTGCTGCTTTCAAGATTTTTTCTTTGCCTTTGGTTTTAAGAAATGTGATTATAGTATGTCTTGGTATGAATTTCTTTGGGTTTATCCTACTTAAGGTTCAGTCAGCTTCTTGAATCTGTAGATTTATGACTTTTCTCAAGTTTTGGAAGTTTTCAGCCATTATTTCTTTGAATATTGTTTCAGTCCCACCCTCTTTCCCCTCTCTTTCTGTTCATATGATGACACAAATGTTATAGCTAAACTCTGGGTTTTGTTTTTCATCCATTTTCTCACTGCTGTTCAGAATGAGTAATTTCTCTTAATTTCTTCCAAGTTCATTGATTCTTTCCTCTACCATCCCCATTCTCCATTAAACCTGTCTATTCCATTTTAAAAAATCAGTTATTACATTTTTCAGTTCTAAAATTTCCATTTGGTTTCTCTTGATAGTTTTTTTTTTTTTTCCTTTGCTGGGACTTTGTATTTTTTCATTTGTTTCAAGTATGTTTTTAATTGCTCAGCCTTCTTGTGAGGGCTACTTTAAAATCATTGTCAGACAATTCACATCTGTATTCTCTTGGGGTTGGTGTCTATTGAGGTTCATTTTTCATTTCAGTTGAGATTTTCCTGATTCTTTTCTGGTTATGAGTGACTTTTATTGAAATTTGGATATTTGGGGTATTATAAATCTTTGGATCTTATTTAAATCTTCAGCCAGAGCAGGCCTTCTGTGATACTGTGCCAGTAGGGGAATGGGATAGCTACTTCATTACTAGCAATTGAGGGTAAA